CATAATTTTGACAACCATCCATATTAGGAGGACAGGATTACTTTCGGACTTCTGGACCAGGCCACGGCTGAAGTGCGCCGATGGCTGTTGGGCCACACCTCTGGGCAGCAGTGTTCGCAGGCGAGGTAGGTAGATAGAGAGGTTATATAGGGTTTAGGGTAAACTCCTTAAAGGGGGCTTGTACAGGGGATTGTAGAGGTGTTATATAGGGGATTTATAGGGATGATGGAAAAGAAAATGGAAGCTACTATATGTAGACAGAGGTCTACGCGTCGCGAGGAATGAGTGAAAGCTTTTTCTTGCATTCCTGCACATCAAAAATGTCAAGATTCTTCGGATCGGCTGTGGTCAAGTAACTAGTAGAATGTAGAACATCTTTCTTGGGTGTGTCTAGTTTCAGTGTACCTGAACATGCCATGCCGGTTCTTGAATAGCATAGAGAGCCTTTCACAGAACAGCATGCAAGACTTTGCTTGGGTTGACATGAGACTGTGACAGGATACATGGTAGTAGTTTCCATTTTGTTTCCATTATTCCCGATATAAGCCCTAATATTACCCCAATGGGTCCCAGTATGGTAGGTGATCCTCGACAGAGCTCTCACTGTGCTTTCCAACTTCAAGCTGGCGAGCCGGCGGCCTAGCATGCTGCTGCCCAGCCAGCTCTTCGTATGTGGTTGGTCCATTATGGGGGGTATTTTGTGGGGAGTATATTATAGGGGGTTTACTATAGGGGGTATGATGGGGGGTATATTTGCAAGAATGTTACAGGAATTGCTTGGGTTGCGATGCGTAGGAAACGGGCCAGGACTTGGAATAGTTCTTTGGGGCTGCTGCAGAAGGATTGTAGCTTTGTTGGGTGATGACCCTGGACCCTCACATGCCCTCTAGCTGAGTCGAGTCCATAGTACATGAGAAGTGCGGGCTAATAAATGAATTTGAACTTAGCTTGTTCATCAGAAGCAGGGTTCTGTATCTTAAGAGCATTGCAGCGCAAGTGGTGAGATTGTTGTGCTGATTCCCATGGACCTCAAAAACATGTTCTTTCCGGGGATTGGCTTTTGCCAGGTGGCTGCGAATTGGAGGTGTTAGGAGGACGGCCAAACAATTGCTGCTTGACATACTCATTGGGGTAATACTAGGGTTACATTGGGGTTATATTGGAGTTATATTAGGGTTATATCGGGGTTATATTGGTGTTATATTGGAGTTATATTAGGGTTTTTTGGGGTTATATTGGGGCTATGTTGGTGCTTGAAGAGTTGGGTTATTTTGGGGTCATGCAAAGGCAGGTCTCAGATAAAGCCTTTGCAGGACCCCTCGGGGCACTTGTCGGTGGATACAGCGACGCCGATTGGCTTTACAACGAGGCGCGCCTTTGCACTCCCGAAAGCCCGCATTCAGAGTTCAGGCCACCCACAAGATCGTGAGCACCGCTGCTCTCAATCAGCCATGGTATTGAGATGTTTTTGAGAAGAAGCCTGTGAGAAGCGCAGCACGGGCAGCAGCCACCGTACAGCAGGAGGAGGAAGCGGCATCAGTAATTAGTATACTAGTAAACATGCCGCTACTAGACTAGAGCTTGTCAAGTAGTCCTGCTGAGTACAGTAGCACAAGTGTCAGAAGGTTGTGTAGCCGTGGTACTACTACAGCAAGTCTGGCGGTAAGTTTGCCGTGTGTTGTGTCCTTGTCTTATTCGGGGTGGTTGTTGTTGTGGTGCTGGTAGTCGTAGTAAGACTTGGTGAGAACGTATGGCAGCAGACAGAGAAAAGAAGCAGGTCTTCCAGAAGCATCCGGCGGATGCGATCCGCGAGTCCTTTGCTCTCCTGGGCTTCAGGAACCGCTCGGATGGCAACTGGCCGGGCTCCTGATATACATCAAGAAAATTTAGAAGAAGTTGGAAACTGGAGGGTCATGGGATATGTCGGGTATAGGGATACCATGGAGAATGAAACTGAAGAGTTCATGGAACATGGCGTGTAAACCTTGTTCATTTGGCTTTTCAAGACTGCAGGGGTTGGGACCTTGATCCCATTGGTTTGCCTCAATTCAGGTGGGGTTGGGGAAGCCAGGGGTACGGTGGAAGTGCCGGTGCTCCAAGTCGCTAGGATATGACACGTCCTCCTGCATGTTGTGCTTGAGGACCAGAGTTTTACTATACAGGAATCCCTCAAACCCAATCTCTGGTCCTCTGGATCCTAAACCCTAAACCCTAAACCCCAAACCCCTTATGCCATCCCAGTGGCGCACGAATGTTTTCTAGGAGGGCATTCCAGAGCTCCCTGTAGTCTCTGCCATCCTTTTACCAGGCCCCAGTCCTGTAAACCAGAGGTAAGAGAAAGACCAGCCCTTCATTTTACTATTTTGGTTCTTCTTATTATTACTTTTGTTATTACTCTTATTGTTTAAAATTACTACTATCAGAAACCCATGTATAATCCCCATAACATTATTTTTAATTCCTGTATATCGCTGAGGTCCAACATCTCTGTAGAAGAGATCTCCCTGGTTTATCGGCGGATGTGCCTTCGGGGCCACCCCAGCCGTGGAGGCGAAGATACCGAGAAAATAGTGAGGAAAATGAATTTTGAGGGATTACATAGAGATTGTGTAGGGATGATATTTGTTTGAAGGGGTGATGTAGGTCTACATGGGGGAGATATAGGAATATTAACCCAATAAGGGAGAAACAAATGGAAAGGAATATGGACATGACATGGAAACTCGAGAACCTCAAGTTGTAGGGAATGAAAGAACCAAGAAGAAATTCAAATTAACCCCTTGCTGGGGATGGCATAGGGACTACTTACTTGTGCGATCCACTCCCTTCTTCCCTACTGCCCACCAGGAAGAAGAAGCGAGGATTAGAAGGATGAGGTCTTCATTTCTTCTGGTGGCTATTGATTGTGCAGGGATTATGTAGGCATCGTGGATGATCGAGCGTTTCTTGCAGGTTGGGTGCGCTAGGACTTGTTTTCAGCCTAGTGTTGATAGGTTCGCGGCAGTCGTGCGAAGCTGATGTTGGCGTCCCGCAGGCTCTCCGAAGGATTACCTCAAGCTGCAGGCTGGAAAGGTAGAATGTTTGGGTTTAGGGTTAAGAGGGATAGTACCCCAACAATGGAAACCCAAATGGAAAGTCAAATGGACGGTGGGATGGAAGCTGCCGCTCGGGTGCGGTTTCTCGGTGGTCGCGGTTGGGTCCCCCTCTCTGTTTGTTTGCCTCTGTCACTTTCCGTTTTGCTTGTCCCTCTCTCCATGCATCTGTTTCAGTCCAGCATGAAATCGAGCCCAACTTACGGCGATGAGTCTTGCTGCAGGTTGCCATGGAGCTCATCAAAGCCTTCTGCGGAGATGCTGGTCCTTTGCAGGTGCCTAGAAGTCATGCTCACATGTTCCCTACACCGCAGCCTAGCTTCGGGAACGCTTGAGACAGGGACCTAGCTCCGGGGCCACTAAGAACGCGGTGTTGTGGCTCGATGACTTTACTACATTATCACTATTCGTATTTTCACTGCTTTTTCTTTTCTCATCTAATATCATCACCGTTGTATTGCTACTACCATTACTTTATTATTTCTTTAAGTGTGCAGGTGGAGCGGAGACTTCAAGCAGAAGCTGTGATTCCACAAGGCTTTCCAGCAACAAAGTGGGTGTTGACAGGGTTTTGACTGGATCAGTACGGGTTTTACCAAAATGAGGGATCCCTTTCTGGGGTCCCCATCATAGGGATTCTAGCATATTGGGGGCCGGTATTGGGGTCTCCATGATTTTAGTTTCCTGATACTGTAATGGGATCATGTAGGCTATAATCTAAACTCCTTAAAGGGGGTTATATAGGGGATCATATAGGGGAGTACTTTCGGGTTTTTCAGGGGGGTACTCGGACTTTAGAGTATAGGTCATATCGCAACCTCCATCGACTCTGGTTGATGGACCTTTTGTGCCATCCGTTGGCGACCAAGTAGGATGCTGGGAAATTGCCAATAGGCACTAGCAGTAGAACTTGCTGCAGATGCTTCTTGAGAAGGGAGTTCTGGGGTGAAATTTTGATAGCTGACGCTGTTTTCTCGTATTGTATCCCTCTGAAAAGGCCCGAGCGGAACCTACCAACCGCTTTTTGCATTCGCCACCTTTGGAAAGGTTGGATTTTATTCCTGCTTTTGTTAACTTTCCTTGCATACTGTGCGAGCTAATTGTTGAATCTTCCGTGGGAAGCTAGAAGCTTGTGGCTTGCGACGAGTTCTGGCCAGAATTCGTGTGGTAGTTGCCATGATTAGGAGGGCGGGGCCAATATAATATGGACTTCCAAATTATGGGCACCCCAAACCCTAAACCCTAAAGGCCCGGAATAAAAAACCCTAGACCCTAAACTGGTAAAAAGACAAGCAGTTGTGAGAAGGGCGAGTGAAGCAGGGGACTGCAAGTGAGGGAGCACGTATAGGACAGACCCCTCGATCCAACAGGGTTTTTGTCCGACTGTTGCCAGGAAGATAGAAGGGAGCGCTGAAAACACAAATTATAGTCCCCCTTAAGTAGACAGAATATGGCTTTGGGTATGTCATAATAAGATCCGCATATACCCCCATATTCTATCTACTTAAGGGGGACTATGAGCAATCCCCATGTAGCCGACAGCTTGTCAGGCCCAGATGCTGGCGCCGCAGACAGTCCCCATTTTGCCAGGGGCTCAGGGAGCTCCTGATATGAGCTGTAGTCAAAACTCCATAGAAGTGGGTTATGTAGGGAATTATGTAGAGACTACATAGGGATTATGTAAGGGATTATATAGGGGTTTATATAGGGGATTATATTTAGGGGGTTTATATATGGGTTTATATAGGGGATTATATTTAGGGGGTTATATGGGGATTATATCGGGATCATGGGAAAGAAAATGGAAGCTACTATTGAGGGCTTAGGGTTTGGGGTGGGATCTAAACTCCTTAAAAGGGTTGTATAGAGAATTATATAGGTTCCTAGTACACGGCTTACGAAGGGGGATACTAGGAGTTCAGGTTATAGCTCATCTGAAAGAAATGGAAGGTGAAATGGAAACTGGAGGTGTATGGCGGTCATAGAGGAAGTATCTCCCCCAATATAGGGATAATGGAAAATACAATGAACACTGCTGGGTAATATCTGGTTATATTGGGATATCTCCTCCTCCAATATAAAACATTCCCAACCCCCCATGTTGAATATTCAATGGAATTGTTTTACACTAGCGGGGTGGGCTCGACTTGAGGGGCTTGCGCTTTTGTTCTCGTCTGTGCTTCTGCAGTTGCGAGGTTATCCAAAAGCTTGCGCGAACTTTCTCAAAACCATGGGGGGTCCTCCTTTTGGGTTTTCCCAGAGGGAAAATTGGTGGAATGTCATTGCCAAAGACCTGGAACTATAGCATACTTGACACTTTTGTATCAACTTCGGCATGCTTGACACTTTCAGTCTCAGTACAAGTGCTTGAATACGAGTATGCACATTAGTTGTAAATTTTAATTCATCTTGGATCCCCTTAACCCCAAACCCTAAAGCCAAATCCCTAAACCCTAAACTCTAGACCCTAAACCCTCAACCCCAAGCCCTAAACCCTATGTAACCCCATCATAGTAGTTTCCATTTTCTTTTCCATTATCCTCATATAACCCTTATATTTATCCCCTATATAACCTCTAACATAATCTCTATATAACCCAATATCATGTGTGTGCCCAGGTCCTCAGCGACCTGTCCTTGGCCCGGGAGCTTCAACTGAGTGCAGCAGAAGCCTCGAAGGAGCAGACGGCCTTCTCACGTACCTCCGGTTTCGGGATTATATAGTGGTTGTAGAGGGATTATATGGGGATGATGGAAAAGAAAATGGAAACAACTATTGTAGTTTGGGGTTTAGGGCTTAGGCTTTAGGGCTAGGGTTTAGGGCTAGGGCTAGGGTTGGGGCTTAGGGGTTCTGGGCTAGCAGGGAATGAAGGAATGGAAAAGAAAACGGGAATTATCCGATTATAGGGGATTGTTCATTCCTTTGTTTCTTGCTGACTCTTCGGGGTTTGGGGTACTTGGATAGCCTTCTATGTTTTTTGTCTGAGTTGTTTCAGGGTATGAGGGTATACCGCTCCAAGTCCAGCGTTTTGGGTTAGTTCAGGGTTCAAGGTCTAACAGCTGTGTAAGTTGAAGCAATTTCGGTTTCTGTGGGGTCTAGGAAATTGATTTGGCACTCCCGGTATCCTTCCAACCTTGCCTTACTAACGCAACTTTCCCCGTTGTTATCGTGAGGAAGGCTTGTCATGTCTCTTGCAAATCCAATCATCTGATACTGACCTCCTCAGAGTGTGGCGTCACGTTTACATACCCTCAGTATCGTGACATCATTGCAAGAAACTAACATTAGATGAGATACAGCTCAGCAGTCTTGAAAGCCATGAGATTCGGGTAAAGCAAAGCCCTGGTTGCAAGAATAGACACCATGCAAATCCCAGGAGGCTTCGCAGCTCAGTGCAGAGCACTTGGAGGCAAGGTTATTGAGCGGATTAGATGCGAGTCCGGAAATCCAAGCCCAGAATTCTCGCAAGGAGATGAACAGAGCGCTGGACGAGTACATCTTAAGGCTTCATTTTTACATCCGCTCCTGTGTCAGATTGAGTAGCAAGGGACTGCCACAGCACCCTCAGCCTTGCGCAGGCAGATGTGTTTCAAGAGCGAGATTGTCGATGAAATCGCTCGGCTTCATGAGGAGTGAGGGTGCGGGAGACTACGTGTGAAATTTCCGTAGCAAAACGGGCCCCATTATTTCACAAGAACTCTCCACTTGCCGATTTAGAAACGGCTTCATGTTTTGGAGCCCAGCCTGCAAGCACGGAGGGTTGCAAAGCTGTCTTGCCTGACTAGGACTCGGCCTACGCGATTCTGGGGGTCTCCTCCAGCGCCACGGATGCGGAGATAAAGAAGGCCCGAGCTGAACATGAGCTGCTCGCTTTTGCTGATGCTTTCTTGCTGTGTAGGCCTATCGGCTCATCGCAATGCAGTGCCATCCGGACAAGGGAGGAGACAAAGAAGACTTTCAGGACAGGGTTCGCAGCAAAATCTGCAATCCTTCAAGAAATCTCAAGAACTCAGTTTTATTGCTTTGAGGAGTTGACAAACGCCTACGAGAAAATCATGGAGCAGCGCCGCTCCGCTGATGACAAGGGTACAAAGGCTCACAGCGCACACTCCCTGTTAAGGGTTTAGGGTTCAGGGATTCCTTAATGGAAGTCCATGTGCAGTATTTCGATGGACATGTGAATCCCCAAGCGAAGGTGTAACATGTTACCTTACACCCTAGACCCTAAACCCGAAAGTGGCGCCTGAAAAGCCCGGCTGTGATTCTCGTAAAGGAGCACGGCAGCGCGGACAGCGAGGGCGAGGCGCGCTGGTGGGGTGCTGCTCGGGGCTCCATCAGTTGTCAAAATTATGATTCTTTTTTGGGGACCCTAAATATTAGGTGCCGTATTAGAATAGGGATCCAAAACGGGACCATAATTTTGACAACCACCTATATGAGCTATAGTCTAAACTTCTTAAAGGGGGTTATGTAGGGCATTATATGGGGGACTATTATAGGGGATATTCAAGGGATACTAGGAATTTAGACTATGGCTCATATATCCCGTGAATATTCTCTAAACCTAAAACCCAAACATACACCCATATATCCCCTAAAACGCCCCAAAACCCTACCCCCCTGTCCCCCATACACCCCTCAGGACCCCGTTAAAGGAGGTTACAGCTTTAGCTGTTATAAAAGGGTCATCATGTACACAACAGGAAATTGAATCTGACCTGGTCTCATGTGACAAGAATTCTAGGCCGTTGAGGGCTCAGGGTTTTGGGTTGCAGGTGAAGACATGTATGTATACAAATACACATGTATATACATGTGTGTGCATATTCAAATGTACATTTCTCTAGTTTGCCAACAAGGATTGCAGATGAAGCAAAACCTCTAATTTCTTCATGTTCTTCTTTGTTACAGAAGTCTTGATGCGTTCTGAGGCTGCAAGAAGTCAAGGTTTCAATGTCTTTCGGTAAAATCCCTGAACCCCCAAGCTGCAAAGCATACTGAAGATGAACAACTTGAAGCCCGTCCCCTAAACTTGAACTTTGCTCGGTAGGAAAAAGCGCAGGGTATAATCAGGTAATATCTGGATAAGATTCGTGTTCTGCAATATGGTAAGTTCAAAAAATGGAGGGCCACAATATAGCCGCCCAAGACGTTATAATCCTTATCATAGGGACGCCCAAAACGGGAGCCCTAATCAATGGACACCTTAAATCCTATAAACCTGCATCCCACTTTCCATTTCATCTTGCATTTTTTTCCATTTGATTTCCCCTGTTCGGGGTAGTTTACACCTTTTTAACCCTAAATAGTAGCTACCATTTTCTTTTCCGGGATCCTTACATATTATATACCCCTGTAAAACCTGTGTGTCATCCGATATGTTACCATCATCCCAGAACCCTGTACAGTCCCCACATAAACCCCAAACCCGAAATCCTAAAACCCTAAACCCTAAATCCTAAACCCCAAGCCTTAAACTCCTAAACATTGGGAAAAAGGCCACATAAAAAATCAAACGCTACAGAATCCCCTACCTAGGTACATAGCCATCAACCCTAAACCCTAAACCCTGAACCCTAAACCATCTCGTAGAACCCAGTCCCCTGGCCAGGAGCCCACGCCGGTTCATGGCAAGAGCCAGCCCAAGAATCACGAAAAAAAGAAGGCCCAGTTCAGGGGTTAAGGTCTTGTTTAGGGTCAAGTTCAGGCTTATATAGGGTTTATATAGGGCATATATAGGGGTTATAGAAGGGAAAATGGAAACTATGATAATGGGGGTTATACAGGGTTTTGGGTTTTAGGTTTTAGGGTTTATGGAAGGTCCCTTCGAAGGTTTCTAGGGTGATATGTAGGGTTATATAGAGGTTATGTCAGGATTATATAGGGGTAACGGAAAAGAGCATGGAAGCTACTATTAGGGTTTAGGGTTTGGGTTTTCAGGGTTTTGGGGTTTCTGGGTTTCATGGTTTTGGGGCTTTATGGTTTTCTGGCTTCAGGGTTTAAGTTTCAGAGTTTTGGGCTTCAGGGTTTTGGGGTTTAGGGTTTGCAGGGCTGTGGGGTGAGCAGAGGAAGCAGCATGTAGGATTTTCACATGTAGTACAACTCTGTAATACAAAAGAGCACGACAAGAAGAAATTCTCTGGTAGATGTTGGCGGTGGCAATTGAAAAGCGGGAGTGTCTCCCTAGATTCCCATGGAATCCCTAGGAGTTTACTCCTAAAATGCCCTCATGATCCCCATGTGGCCCACGTTCATACTCTTGCACACCCAGTTAGTGCATTCTGCTTAGAATATGGAACCCCACATCGCTTTCTGATCTTCAGCCAGGAGAGCTCTGCAAGCGCCTCCGAGGCCGAGTGTTTAATGATGTTCCGCAGGCAGTTCTTTCAAGCCACGCGGTTTAGCGTTCAGGATTTGGCACCAGGAAGTCTGCGCATGCAGGAGGGTGTTAAGCCATGACTGGCAGCGCATACGGGCAGTTGAGGAAGGAATATTTTTTTGCGTGACACGTTTTTATTGGAAGGAGTCTCGCACCTATTCCTGCTAGTATCTTTCTTGCTGTCCGGTTGGTTAGGATGTTTGCCTGATTTTGTAGGGTTTAGGGGTTTAGGGTTTAGGGCTTATGGTACGGTATTCCTGTGAAGAGAAGATTTTCTGCTGCTTTTGGCTAACATGTTTACTACCTCTCCTGCCAAGCTAGGGTTGTGATTCTGCTTCCTTATCGCATTATCCTCTGGTCATAATGCTGGCGACCAGTGACAGTAATTTGGGTACCGCCCCCGCTCTGATTGAGTTGGACAATATTTAGAAACATAGTTATATATATAGCCCTTAGTATGACCCCCCAATATAGACAGTACGGAAACAGTAACCATTGTCATGAGAGCCTCCGGAAGGATGAGGATGCAGAGGCAGGGGACAAGGCAAGCCTGTGAGCTCTTGCTGGCGGAGCACGCTGATATGAGCTTTAGGCGAAATTCCTTAAAGGGGGTTATCAAAACTCCATAAAAGTGGGTGACATAGGGAATTATATAGGGATTATATGAGGGAGTATAAAAGGGATTGTATAGGGGGTTATATAGGGGGATTATATAGGGAGAATGGACAAGAAAATGGAAGCTACTACTTAGGGATTGAGGTTTAGGGTCTAAACTCCTTAAAGGGGGTTATACGGGGGACTATATATAGGGCTCCTATTGTAAGGCTTATTAAGGGGGATGCTAAGAGTGGAGACTATAGCTCATATGCGACTTTCTCAAAGTATGTACTTTTTCCTGGTAAGGCAGCAATCCATTTGGATGAACCATTATGTGGGTTGTTCTCGAAATCCTGCGCCCCCTGGTTATAGATTCTATTGCGGCACCACATATTCAGGGGTACCAAAATGGGACCCTAATTTTGGGAAGTACCCATGTGCTGCCACAGGCGGAGGGGGAGAAGGACCGGAATGCCAAGAGAACTGCCCAGGACGTCAAGCCAGATTGTGATGTTTTTGTGCTTATAGCTCCAAAAACCCTGATTTCCAAGGAAGCCAGAATATCCTAGCGAGGTGAACGAGGAACATTTTGCGCTTGAACGCCCAGTGCCCCGCAGGAAGCTCCCAAGGATTCTTGAAATCACATGAGCTACAGTCTAAACTTCTTCAAGGGGGTTATATAGGCGACTACTATAAGGGGTTATTATAAGGGGGATACTACGACTTTAGACTACGGCTCACATTGAGCGGCATACTTTTCTTCTGCAGGCTGTGGTTCCATGTATCCTTATGCTGCCCACCTGGAAGGATATTTATGCCAACGCTTCCAGATTGGCCGAAACATCCTTGCAAGCTAAGGCCTGAAACCCCCCCCACCCTTCGCGTTCAACGGTAGGAGGACGCAACACTCCTCGAGAAGGCTAGCAAGGCAGCCACGCTACATTGGGGCGTTCCTAGATTTTATGGCGGTGTCTCAAAAATAATTTCTGCAGAATCCTGTCTGAGAGAGCCCTGCAATCCCTGCGCAATCCCCACGTGTGAACCCCCGCATAAGCCTGGGTGCTTAAGGGCAGATTTGAGAAACTCTGTTGTGTTAAGACGACTTTGGTGCTAGGTTTTGAGAAGAGGCATGCTAGGAAAGTCTGAGTTGGCAAGATCAAGCCATGTGTGCCGGATCAATCGCGTCATTGTGGGTCACTTTGTATACAACACCGCATTTTCTGACTACCAGATCCTTTTGTGGGGCAATTCAATCAGCAACGCTCCCTAATCCTCTCTGGCACTCCCCCAGTCCCCTTAAGCCTTGGTGGGGGTTAGCAGGGAATATGGGAACATATTCTGCAAGGTTTATCTAGGGATTACGTTCAATTGTCCCTTATTCTCTACTCGCCCCCACTAAGTAAGCGTGATGTGTCACAAGCCATCTTAGATTCAGCGCTTCAGTCTTCGAGGCATCCGGCTTGTGCTTTCGGCTTGTTATGGCCGATGGGTCAGGCATTGGGTTCTCCTACTCAAGCAGGGGCAGCGCTGACTACACGTGAGCCGTAAGCAGTTTCCCAGTTTGCATTTCATCTTTCCTTTAGTTTTTCAATCCGACTTTTTGCTGTTGGGGTCATATCCCTATAACACCTAGAACGCCGAATAGAATTTCTGTGTAGCCCTATATACCTTTCATTTTCCGAGGCAGCTGAGGAGGCCTCCCGTTATGCGAAGACGGCCGCCGAGTTCGCGCATCAAGTGGATGCCTCTTTGTGGTCCCAAGGCGTTTCGGATTCAGGGTCAGTAATTTGGAAGTCGGAATCATTATCAACAGCATCGACAATGAAATGGAAATGGGGATAGCGATATATAGGGCGTGTAATGTGGAATCCTCAATACTGATAAAGATTACTGCCTTATCATCTTACATGCTTATAGTTTACTGTGCCCCAAAGCCTGCGCCCCTAGATAAATCATGAGGCAGAATGTGGGCGGATATCAAAGGGTGTCGTGCCGCAGAGCATGGCTGGGTGTTGCGAGTCGTCTTAAGGTATCCGTGGTCAGCAAGGCATCAGTGCCCCCTGGCGGAACAGGGCATTAAAACAACTCCAAGCCTTAAGCCAGCTGTCATCATCATTCTCATCAGCAGGCTCGAAACTCTTCATGGCTGGTGGGACAGGATAAGTAATACCCCAAAGATAATAGTAGTAATAATAGTCGTAATGGCAAGAATAGTAATGTTAACATTAATCTAAATGCTGCTAATAGTAACACTACTATGGATCAGTGCGGCCAAGGCAGCAGAGTCTGCGGAGGCGGCGCGACGAGACCAGGAGCCACACGTGCACTCTTCGGGCTGAGGTGGTGCTCGCTCCGCCAGAACCGAGTGTTACAAGAAACTCGGATAGCCAAAATGTGGGAGGGGGACCCCCAAAAATGGTATGCCTCATTTGGTGAAACCCCCCATATCCGTTGAAATGGGACCCCTAAAATGGTATCCCTCATTTTGTGAAAGCCCCGAAAAAAGGATTTGTAACCCCGAGAGCAGGCCCACCTCCTCCCCAGGATATGCGCAGGGAGTAGGCCTGTGGCATGTGAGCTATAGTCTAAATTTCTTGAAGGGGATTATAGAAGGGGATTATATAGGGATAGTGGAAGAGAAAATGGAAGCTACTATTTAGGGTTTAGGGTAAAAAATCCTTCAAGAGGGGTGATATAGGGGATTATACAGGGGGACTACTATAGGGGTTGTTACGGGGTATACGAGGAGTTTAGACTACGGCTCACGTTCCAGGAGAAGGGCGGCCGAGACACCTTGATCAAGTCAGCGTGCTGCCTCAGATGCTGCCCAGGTCTAGAATTTTTTGAAGATCACGCTTTAACTGTGCTACATGGTATCTTGTATTTCGTCATACGACTTTTTTGTTGTGTCTAAATGTAGTGTAATAAAGTGCAATACATTGTAGTGTATGGTATTGTGATACAATACGCCTCACAAGTAGACATTGAACCCATAATATAAGCTCATTTGCCGCATTTTGTCGACTCGCCGCTTTGTTAATATACTTGAATCTGACAAGGTCGCACACTCAGCCATCGTCTACACATTGACGGTCGTGAAGGCAACGATTCTAGGAGAGAATGCGTGGAACGTGCCTAGGATTGCATATCCTTGACTGGTCCTTGCTGCAATTCATGCTCATGTGGTGGCAAGCTTCATTTTCCAGACTCTTTTACAACAATGCTGCTCTCTAGTATGTTCAGTACGCCCAAGCCGGTATACATCTTCATGGAAGCTTGCTTGGCAAGAGGTGATGTCCCGTTCGGAGCCTTGCGTGTCATAGTAGCTTACACAGCTTTCACGTGATTGAATCTCCTCGAGCTGTCGAGGCCGTCCGTGCGGTGGGCTATGCCACGCTTGATGTAGCAGCACAATGCCGGGCAGCGGCCAAGCACGGGTCCTGGTTGGCGGAATGATTGGGTTAGGGAGCTTGTGAACGCCAGTTAGGATGCCTCACACTAGTTCTGCGCAATGCGCTTAACCTATCTGGTAAGACTGGATTTCTGCGGTCATGGGGCCTGACATCTGAAGTCGCGTGCAGCACATGGCTGTAGCAAATCTATTCGCTGCCTTGACAGCACCATCTTCAGAAAGATGTTTGCGGTTCCAACGGGGGACCCTTGCAAACCCCCTTGTAACGGAAATATTCTCGGATCCCACAGCAAAATTGACTAGCCCTGTTGTGACAAATCTCTGTCCAGGAGAAATCCTGAAGCTGTGAGCTGCGCAGAGCACGCCGTGAATGTGCCAACCCGAGCATGACAGAATTTGGGTAACTGTCGAAACTACGGTCTCGAATGGCGCGGTTGGCTAGATGTCAGATAATGTGGGGTTGGGGGGTATTGAGAGAAAAAAATGAAGGGCTTAGGGTTTTGTGTTCAGTTCATCGCCCTTTGTTGGGTTGGGGCTTTCCTACCGACCGGGTTATGATCTTGCAGTCTCAACGCTGAAGCTTCAACGATGTTTTTGCGACATTATGCTGTGTTCTGAGGCAATGAGCCTCGGTTTGGAGGCCCTGAACTCGGCACTTTCCTGTGCAGAGGCGCGTTGCTGGAAAGCAGCCACGGCACATGTACAGAATATCTGCAAGATGGTTGGTTGCCTAGATTTTCTTGGAGAAACGTATGCATGAAGGCTTCAGGCAACTCACTAGTCACTACTTGGATCACTATCTGTGCCGTTCCCTAGCCGTTACTGAGGCGTTGATGAGACTCCCTCCCATAGTCTAGAGTTTGAATTCTGTTTTTGCAAAGAGAGGTTTGTCTTGGACAGGTGACAGAGATCACGGCCGCGGAGCTTCAGGCGAGCAACAACTAGAGTTTTGCACAAATTTGGCGCCTGATTTTGGGAGTTTTGGGAATCCTAAGAATGAGGATTGCAGTGTTCCGGGGGTACCCTCCGAGTCCCCAACAGGCATAACCATACCATATCACGTGCTTCTGGCATCACATGCACATGATGACCCCGCAATCTTCATTTGCAAGGCTATCAGTACTGCTAGCTCTTCCGGACCATGACAATGTCAACCCGATACAATCTTGCAAAACTCCTATACATATGAGCTTTAGTCTAAACTTTTTAAAGGGGGATCATAGGGGAGTCTTATAGGGGTCATGAAGGGGGATACTTGGAGTTCAGACTATGGTTCACGTAGATCGTTTGCAAGCTAGCCTTTCCTTTCATTCATGGTCACTGCTCCGCCGAAGGCATCCCCAAAGGAACCCTAAATAGCAGTTTCCATTTCATTTTCCATTATCCCAACATATAACCCTATATTGTAATCCAATAGTGAGCTTATATATACCCCAAAATAATCCCAACGTCAGCATATGGTAGTTTCCCTAAATAGGGGGAACCCAATATAGACCCCAAAATGCTATAGTCTTTATTATGGGGACCCCCAAAATGGTATCCATAATTTTGGGAAACCCCCATATATACACCAGTATAACCCCAACATTGCGGGGAGTCCCCGCGCTCCCCGCAATGTTACTATATAATTACTATTATAGTATTATCATATTATCACTATATTAATATATTATTGTTATTATTATTATTATTAATGTATTATTACTATGTTAGTACTAGGTAGTTCCCATACTTTCAAAATGGAGGCAATGATCTGCATGGTGCGATTTTAAGGTCAAGTTTGGTTGTGTTGTGAGACGCAATACTGACAAGGTTGCCGATCCAGTTGTGCATGTTTATGTCGGCCCCGCATGGGGCACAACATATTTAGGGCTGGATGAGCGCACTACGAAGCTCAAAAACACCCTCGCCAAAACCCTTCAAATGACAAGGAGTAACGCTGCGTCTTCCAACTTTTCAACAATGGCCGCCATACTGCTTTCTTAGGTGTATGGATTGAGGGCCGAAGTTCACTTACCACCATGTATCATACGTATGCAACTAAGCCCAGATAGTGCTCATAAAGCATCCCTGTGATTCCTCTCGTTTGACTCGAGAGTAGAAGTTGAATTTGGTATCATCCTAGCCCCAAACCCCAAACAACTGGCAGACAGGAGGAACAATGTGGTAAAGACAAACCTAGACATATCAACATCTAGTTCCAAGTCTACTTTCTACTTTTGAAACAAGACAACACCTAAATACCCCTATATTATTTTACTATTATCATTGTATTTTCTCATACTACTACTATATTATTACTATATGCTATATCCTTAGATTGCATGCCTATGTAACCTTAGAGTTTCTCAGGCACCGCAGGGAGACGGTCGCTCCGCCGCCGAGCGCTTCGCAGGCACATTCCACGAGCATTTTGGGCCTAGGGGTTCAGGGTTAGGGTCTATGGGTGTGCGATCTAGGGTCTAGGACTCAGTGTTTAGGGTACGGCATTTTGGGGTGCCGATCCGGGCATTTCGGGTGTTATGTAGGAGGTCTGGAAGGGTGAGAAACGGCTTCTTGAGATTATTTGAGCCACTCTCAAGATTAGGGTTAGCAAGTGCCCGTTAAGGGTGGACTCTTGAGTTTAGTATAGTCCCTGCTACATCCCTAGTCTGGAACCCATGTCCATTAAGTTATTTGAGAAGTATCCACTGTAGCTCACATAGATTCCTCTGGGATTCTCAACGCTGCCTCCTGAAAAGGGGTTTCAGCATATAGGGGACTATATAGGGGAGTATTATAGGGCTTATCAAAGGGGATACTAGGAGTTTCTTGGTGTCCCTGAATCCGAAACGATGCCTTGATGGCTTAGAACCGTAGCTCTGACTGCGGAGAGGTTAGAACCTACATACCACTATTTCATTACTAAAATACTACTTAATTGCTACCATATTATTTCTATTCTATTACAATGATTGGAGAGTTTGAACCCTAAGCTAAGGTAACAGTTCAACCCGACCCCCTCAATCCCAAGCGCTAAGCATTCAACCAACTCCTGGCCCTCAGATTATGGTGAATTTAGTGTGAGGCAGACCTTTCGCACCCTCTGGAATCCAGAACAAGTCCAGGCGCTGCAGTGCGCGCATCGCTTGCGGCTGCCGGCGCATCCAATGTAGCTATGCCCGGCGCCTGAAGTGTTCAAGATGCAGCGAAAATGATAACTGTAAGAGAAACCACCACCTGTCACGTCATCAATACTACTAGAAAAGTTATACGGATATTCACCATTTTATAATCCAACCAAACAAATGTTTGCACTTCTGTAAGAGAGGCTCAATGATGCGGTCTTCTCAGCTTTGATGACTGGGGTGTTGCCTGGTAATGCACGCTTGCTGGTTTTACACTTCTGGCTCACAGTCGACAATGTCGCAATGGATGGTGCAGAAGTCTTGTCTCACTGTGTATAAAAACATATACACACACATTTTCCTGTTGACTGTATAGGATTTTCGCTAGCTGTCAGTACTGACTCCGACAATGCTGCAGCTGCAGTCTATGCCATGGCCTTTGCCTGGGCAGACAGCTTCAAATTGACATGGTCCAGGAGGAGGGTTTTGCAGAGGTTGTTGAGAACTCGTCTGGAGCGGAGGAGACATCAGATTCCTTGGAGCCTTCCAAGTTGTCCATGCCGTCCCTGTTTCAGGAGGCTGCCTCTGCAAACCCTGCAAACTGGGGGTGTCCCTAAAACGCCCTGAACCTGTCGGTTTGATTTCAGAGCTCCTAGCCCCAAGACTTATGGTTTCTTCCAGTATCCATCAATTGTCGTAAGTTCTTGGGATCATCCCCTTTCAGAAATCGTCCAGGCTCCAGGCCCAATGCCCTAAACTGAATGTCCGACGCCCTACACCGGATACTCCGAATCAAGCGACGCAACCACACAACTGGGTTGCTGTTAAGGAGCTTGAATTAAGTGACCTAGGGTTGCCATACTGGGTATATATGTTGAATAATGGGGTTTCCCCAATATAGCAACTTAATTTAAGTTCTTTAACAGCAACCCACACACACAAAGTCTCCAAGTCCTGAGGCTCAACATGATCCCCTCCCTGTGCCTTACCCCACTGAACATGAGACTCTGTGTGGTATACTGGAGTACATTTGGGATATTTAGTGTTGGGGGGTTGAGGGTCTAAATATTAGGGGGAGAGAGTCCCGTTTATCCCCCACACACCCCTAGTTTCCATGTCATTTCCATTTTCTGTTTCATTTGATTCTCCACTAGTGGGGGTTCAATATCCCTAAGCCGCGCCTTAAATAACGCCACATATCTGCACTCAATACCCCCCAGAAGCCTCATGTAATTCCTAAATCCCCATATATCCTTACATGTACCTATATAGGCCTATGTAGTCCTATATAATCCTCATAATCCTATGTATAGCCCCATGTAACCCTGCATAACCTTATATAGCGCTGTATAATCCTGTATAACCCTGTGTAACCCCGTATGAGCTATAATCTAAACTCCTAGTATCCCCCTTAACAACCCCTATAGTAGTCCCCTCTAAAATTCCCCTATATACCCCCCCTTGAAGGAGTTTAGACTATAGCTCATATAGCCCTCAATCCTTGATTGAAAGAGGCAAGGCGGTCTCTGAGAGTCCTGGCCGCCAAGTTGATTGCAGTTGACCATAAGCCTCATGAGCAGCCGGGCCTAGAAGGTAGGGCTGAGGGTTTAGGGCTTGGGGTTTAGTGTATAATCCCTTAATAGGGCTTCTAGGGGATTACAGGGTATATAGTAGATATATAAGGAACCCAGGGTTAAGGGTCTAGACTAGCATAGTTCCGACATTAGGAGTCGTTCTTGGAGTGGTTATGGTGATTGTTCTGCCAGGTGGTGCTCGCGGATCTTTTTTGGGGTGAATGTGCGCATCGTTCTGGGTCATTAGGTGCACTCTTGGGGACCACCTGCGCAGGGACCTTATACAGGGTTACTGTTAGAGATTGCATCATATGGCAGGCTTGTGCGTATGAATCATTTTTGGAAAATTATGTTTTTGTTGACGTAGAAGGGAGCCTGGTTTTAAAGGCGAACCCGTAAAGGGCAACCCAGGCAGAAGAACCTTCTCGTGGGATTCTCATGTCTAGCGCTGGCTACACCAGCCATTCCAGCATACTGCGTTGGAGATCTGACGACGGTCTTCATTACGTTGGGCATGACGATCACATCGCTGAACGCTGATTATCTTTATCTTGGTACGGTCTGGAATGTCATTGATCGCTGGGCCGCTCTTGGCTATTCGTTTTACATGTACTGGCTGGCCTTCCCGCACTTGCCGATCAGCTCCACCCTCAATGCCATCCCGCTGGTAGCTTTCTTGAGCTACTCCAGGCCTGCGATGTTCTTCCCTCATGCTGGCTTCTTGCATGAGCAGTACCTGAAATATAGAATGCTGGTTCTGATTAGAGGAGGGGTCTCTGTCTCGCATTATCCTCACATGTTGCAAAATGGACTTAATTATCTCGGTGTGACGCTGGCCGAACAAGAAAAGCCACTGCTCCCAGGCAACCAGTTGGGGGCGCTGTGTTTTTTTTGCCTCTGTTTTGTGTTGACCCCTAAATTTTTCGCAAGTCCGAGAAGCGAGACTTTCTGGCCCGTTTTGCACACAATGCCAAAAGAAGCTACGCCTAAGCTGCACGGCAAGCACATCAGGTGCACTTGACAATGCTGAGAGTTGCCGCCCTTGTGCAAGGAGCTCAGCGACGAAGGAGCAGTGGTCCTTTCGTCACTCGCTTTGGCATTTCTTCCTGGCGGTGGACGTGCCCTTGTTCCTCGTGTTTCTGTGATGCATTACAGTGGGACCTCTTCTCGCGAATTCCCTGGTCCCATCTCCAGACACAATCCTAAGAAGACCCCCATGTTCCTAAGGTGGTCCGCAGAATGATCTCTAAAGCCTAAAGCCCCACGCAGCAACATCAGTTTGCTTGCTGCCTGTCCAAGGTTTGGAGCCTACTCAGACCGATTCTGGGTTTAAGTTAGTATATTGGGAAACCCTATTTTTTTTGATATATATATATATACCCATTATGGCAACCTCAAACCCTAAACCCTATAAATCCTACATACCCTAAACTCCTATTAGTTATTATATATACCCATTATGATAACTTAATTTAAGTTCCTTAAAACAGCAACCCAGGATTCTTCAGGCAGAGCAAGGACTAGCTACTTTGTGCGGCTTCGGGCCTTCCTACTGAAACGTGGGTGTTCCTCGAAATTGTAAAGGACCTTTGTTGGGGGGTCCGTAAAACCGGTACAACTTTGGGGGTAAGGTAGGGGGGAATTAGATTTTGAGGAATACCCATGTATGGACCTTGTGCGGAGAGAACTGAAAAAGATCTGATTGTCCCTAGGCATCACGTCCAAAGACCCTCCCTAGTCCGTTCGAACTCTGTGTAATGCTTTCGAAGCATCACTGAACGCCGAGTTGTAATCCTCGTCGAGCCCCAAATGTTAGTTTCCTTAAACAAGGGGACCCCGAAATACTATAATCCTCATCATGGGGACCTCCAAAAGGGTACCCCTAATTTAAGGCAACCCCCAAATATGATCATCTATGAAGCCTGGCAGTCACGATCTGAGTGCGCAGCACGCCGCAATCGCTTTAGAAAACGTGATGTCATCGAACTTTGGGTTTTTGTGAGGGTTATAGGCTATAGGCACGTTATAGGGAGTGTACGGGGGAAGCAAAGGGTTCAGGATACAGGATTTAGGATGAAGGAGGGTCCTTTTTCAAAGGTTCAAGTTTAAGCTCAGGCTCTCTGCGTGGGGTATATCCTAGCCCGCCAGATTGCCTTAGATTCGTGCTTAGCATGGTCTGCGGCACGAAGATTTGGTTTCCAACCCCAAGCCGCGAACCCACAATTATGAATTACCCGAAAGGTCGACCGCAGCCTCTCCGGAGACATTTCACTCAGATTCACCGGTCTGAGATGACCCTCTAATAGGGGTACCTTTTGGGTCCTCTTTGGCCTTGATAAGGGCTATAGTATTTTTGGGTCGATATTGGGGGTCCCCTCTTTTGGGAAACTACCAAATAAGGTCCAAATTTAGGCTTCCTTTTTTTTTTGGGATACCCATGACAATGGCCTATCTATGAGACTCATGGCTCCCTAGCCACCCCCCTCTATCTATCCACCCCAAGGTATCCCCTTAGTTAGCCTTGAATGTTCTCAATCCAGGCGGAACGCAAAGGAGGGTAGCACACAAGGGGCGGTTAGTGAAACCTATGAGCCCTGAAGCATTCTTCAGGGAGTACACGACTCGCAGTACGGATTCTCGGGTCTTTTCAACTGCGACCCCGCCATAATACACACTCACCAATCTTCCCAAGGGATGCGAGAAACACTTAGCAAAAACCAAAATGGAAACCCTACTTCATGTATGGGCTTAAGATTGTTGGGGGCTTAATGTAGGCCCTTCATTAATACTTCCTTTTAAGGGCCTTAATATTAGGATCCCTATTATAATCCCTACTAAGGGGAGGGGGTTTATTAATCAGGGGTCTGGTTTAGGTCTAGAGCCTAGGAGTTCCCAAGATTCTAAGGTCGGCGGCCATTTCAGCCGTGGAGGGCAGCAGGCAGTGCGCCAAGGCGCTGATTTCCCCTTTTTTTTTTGGTTGGGATTTAGGGTTCAGGATTCAGGGTTTAGGACTTAGGTTGAGGGTTTAGAGTCTAGGTTTTAGGTTGGAGATCTCCCTTTTCTGCTCGGTTTTGGCCTAGGTTGGGTCATTACACCGCACAGTAGTTGTCATTATTGTCCCTAAAAGGTTTTGTTAAGATCGTCGCAACTGTTGCTGTAGGGCGATGACCCAGGCTTTAGCTTTCAGAGTTTCAGGGGTTTGGGGGTTTGGTGTAGGGCTTGGGAATTGTAATGTGCGTTTTGGGAATTCGGGTTCGGAGCTTGCGTTTTGGGTTCTCGAGGATCTTCTTGGGCTTCCTGCGGGACACCCTGCTTGAGATGAAGCGGATTGGGGCCTGGGTTCAGGGCTAAATTACGTTGTCAAACTCAGCGCCGACGAAGTATGAAGCCGGATGCAAGAGAACCCCTTGCAAAAAGGGACGTGCTGCAGCAAACAGAACTGCCCCATTCACTCATGTGGATACATGTTCCGTAAGAACAGACAGTATCACTCTGGAAGGATGGATGCAGAATCCACAAGGGTGCATCCTGTGCCAAACCAGTAGTTCCAGTAATGTTCAGGCAAGAAGTGCTGCCGCTCTGTGAGAGCAAGGACTGTAGCTACAACGATTGAACCTATGCCAGCAAGAGTAGCGGCAGGTGCACTAGAGACGGTGACTGGGTAAGATACATTGTCCCGGTAGAGAAGGCATAGTAATAGTACTCTTAATGCGAATAATACTAAACGTATTAGCAACTTATAATATTTTTTTCATTATATGTTTCTGTTAGAGCATCAGCCGCCATACACTAGACGTCTCCGTAATTACATCCCCTACAATACTATGGTGACTATTGTAGGATAGGGGCGTAGAGTTGGCAACTTTAGTAAAACATAGTTATTCTATGGTTGTCTCCATTTTCTTTTCCATTATCCCAAACCCTAAACCCTGCACTATAGTGGTTTCCATTTTCTTTTAGATTTTCCCAAACCCAAAACCCTAAACCCTACACTATAGTGGTTTCCATTTCTGTTCGATTATCCCAGAAGCTAAACCCTTTTGGCAGGCCCTCGAACATCCGGGCAAGACTGGACAAGCCCCAGGGCCGCACCTCATTACCTTCAATAGGCTTAGAGTTTAGGGTTTAGTTTAGCGTTTAGGGGCTTAAGATTCAAGTTTTAGGGTTTAGGGCTTAGGGTACCTTCAACAGGTTGCCCCTATCTGGGCAATTCTTATACAGGCGGTGTATAGGGGTTACATAGGCATTGTTGGCGTTCGAGGATACCCTGATAGTGAAAAATGAAGCGGAAAAGAATGCGGAACATGAAATTGAAACTGAGTTTCTATGTGCCGTAGTCTAAACTCCTAGTATGCCCCTAGTAGCCTGCAGTCCTCCCCTACATACTTCCCTATATGACCCCATTTAACGAGTTTAGACTATGCCCATATGCTGGTTTGCAGGGTTAATGGCTAGGCATGGAAACCCAAGATCAGTGTCTTACACTTACCATTAATAATAGATAGTGCCAGGTTTGGCAACATGCCTAGCCAGGTATTTGCAAATCAGGAAAACACTTAAGCACGCCATCTAGGGTAACGTACTCAAGGGATACTTAGGGCTATGAGGGGGTGGGAACATGCTGGTGCTATGATCAGCTCATAACCATTAGTGCCGATCACTCATTCGTTTATTCATTCATTTACGGCTTTCTTTCTTTCTTTTTTTCATTCTCTCATTCTACAGTCAGCCTAGCGAGCTCGTGAAACTTGGGAGCAGTCACGCGATATGTGGCCCAGGCCTCCGGTTGACACTGTCCTCCAGGTAGGACCTAGGCCCGCCAATTTGTCCGCTAACCGGCCGTTGTCAAGAATGGCCTCCAGATACGATCGGTAGTTCTTGTCGTATTCAATACCAATTACGGGTCCATGGGAATGTGTGCCAGAGTCGATTGGAGTAGCTGCTGCAATTCGGGGCATACTACCGAAACAAGCTATGATATGACCCTTAAGCAATAACAATAACATCTGATGAGGAAGTTGAAAAAAGAGTGGTGAACCTGAGCCTTGAGTGCAGTGGGACTCCTCTTGATCGTCTTCTTGAGCCTAAATTGTAGTTTCCATTTTCTTTTCCATTATCCCGATATAATCCCTATATAGCACCCTTTAAGTCGTTTAGACCCTAAACCCCAAATCCCTAAGTTAAGCCTATATAACCCCCAGAAACCTCTGATTTTTGTTGGGCAAAACCCATATCTCTTGCAGCAAAATGGCCGAGGCAGATCCAGACGCTGGAGCAGATGAGGCGAGGCCTAATCGGGAGCTTGGAAGTTCTAAGTTTAGGGTTTAGGGTTATATATGGGTTATAGGTCACTACAGGGGTTCTTTGGGATAATGGAAAATAAAATGAAAACTACTGTAATGGGTTAAGGACCTAGGGTTATATAGAGGTTATATTGCAGCTGATATAGGGATAATGGAAAGAAAATGGAAACCATAGAGGATATATAGGAGGTTATATAGGGTGTATATATATATATACATATGGGGTTGTATAGGGGATATATTGAGGCTTATATAGGGATAATGGAAAAGAAATCGAAGCTACTGTCATATCATATCATTACTGACTCCTGCAAATCGCAAATTTATAGACATTGAAAAGCTTGAGCCAAAGCTGGTGCGGCGAAAGTCTCGGTTTGAAGGCGGTGTCGAAGTTGTGTTGCGTTCTCTATGCTTCTAGAGATGGGAGTTCCAAAAAATAGGAGACCCCAATATAGACCGCATCATGTTATAATCCTTATTGTGGGGATCCCCAAATTTGTAACCCTAATTTTAGGAAACCACTAGATGTGATGACGGCTGTCACGGGTGGCGGTGTGCGACGGCGGTGATCGTGATGTGATGGCTGTGCTTGCCGTACCTGGCCGTAGTTTGAGTGGTGGACTCGGCAGCTTGTGCCGTTGCTGTCATCGGTCTTTTGCTTCGTTTTTGAATTAGGCAGTTTTTCAAATGCAATTTTTCAATGTTGGTGATGTTTCTCTTTTATGCTGGCCTTGAGGACTGCTATTCTTCATGATGCTCTGTACTGAACTGCTATTCCTGTTCTTACTATAATAGGGGAACCATTTTAATTGCTATATATACTAACCACAATGGCTATTTAATGCTTACCATAACTAATGGCCATGATAGATATGGATCTCAATAGACAGATAATTATGTATATATCTATATGTACATATATACATACCCATGATTTTTGTCGGAACCATTCACTTCGTAGCCTGCAAGGCGACGGAAGCTGGAGAGGCTTGCGACGAGACGGAGGCTGGAAAGTGTGGCTGTGGGGATAGTCGAAAAGGACATGGAAGCCACTATAGTCGGTTTAGGGTTTAGGGTTGGAAGCCGCGAAAGTATAATAAGGTATATGTTGGAGAGTGGAGAAGGAAATGGAAAACGCTATAGTAGCTTTCGGGTTCAGGGTTTAGGGCTGGAAACCACTATAGGACAATCGGGTTTATAATGGGATTGTATAGGGATAATGGAAAATGGAAACCACCGTAGTATAGTAGGTTAGATATTGGGATGATATAGGGATAATGGAAAATGGAAGCTATTACTTAGTTTTGATTTGGTCACCCTAAATTAACCCTGAACCCTAGTTCCTACCGGAGTAGTTCTCTACAGTAAGGGATCTTGTAGCAACCCCCGACGCAGTGACGGCCACAGCCAAAAATATACTTCATAGTATACTATTATACACTATAATATATACCAGTATAGTATACTGTATAATATACGATTATACACAATAATATATACTACAATATATTATACTATGCTATAACATGCTATAATGGAAACTATAATAACAGCTAGGATCCTTCTTTCAGACAGCAGGCATTGCTAGGTTTATCGCCTTGCGATCTCTCCACATTGGATTACACGAGAAAAGCAAAGAGCTCAAAAAGGTTCACGAACAACGAACACACATGTGGCGTTGAAGAAAGACTGCAGATGAGAGATCAAGCGAATCATCCCAGTACTCATACCGTGGGCAATGTTGCTTTGAACTGTTTCCGTGCGCATTTGGCATTCTGCTGAACATATTCCACACAAATTCAAAATCTAGACTTCTGAAGCTTAAGTCCCAAATCGTGATCTTTAAATCTAGATCGTCGAGCTCAAAATGGTAAACCTTGACCTCCACGCCTGGGTGGGGAGTTTCCCGAAACATTCCATACCTGCCTTTTTGAAGGGATTCCAACAATCCTTTGGGATTCCCTAAAGCCCACCACTCTCCAATCACCCAAGCGCTAAAGCCAAACCCCAAGACCCACACCCCAAACCCTCACTCCTAAACATCCCAACCCTCGCACCCTAAACTCTAAACCCTAAACCCTAAACCTTAAACCTTTAACCTTAAACCCTAAACCCTAAACCCTGAACCTGAGTTCCCTCCCTGTGCACAGAGCAGCGACTCCGAAGAGCCTGATGCGAAGCCTCCGCCCACGGTCAAGCAGGCAAGCAAATCACCGACTTACTCATTGCCTAAAGGGATAATGGAAAAGAAAATGGAAACTACTATAATATTGGGGTTATAATGGGATAATGGAAAATTAAAATGGAAACTACTATAATATATTGATACTTAGTTTGAGGGTTTCCATAACTGGGGTCCCAAAAAAGTATAGACCTTCATATACGATAATCTGCCGTACCTGTGAAAAGGGACACTCTAGGTTTTGGAAACTTACAGTTGGGAACGGGGGAGTTGATGCCTTCGCGGGGTACATGGGTCTAGGTTTTACTATCATCATCATCATCATCGTTGTCATCATTGTCATCATCATGATCATTGTCATTATCCGGCCTTTGAATTGTGGAGCTGAATGCTCGCAGCATTTGGACCGTATTGACCTAGGGCTAGTAAACTAGCTAAGCATTATGACTGCCACTGCCTTGACCCTTACTCGTACAGCTCGAATTTCGGCTGCCATTGTGCTGCACAACTAGCGCTCGTTGGCATCTAGTCCCCCTCAAGTTGTTTATGGAATTGCGCAATATCACAAAAAGACCACTAAAACGCCATCTTCTATCTGTACATTATAGTGGTTCCACATTTTTCCATTATCTCTATATAACTCCTATAGAACCCCTATATTATCCTTATGTAACCCCCATAGAGCCCCTGTAGAACCCCTATATTATCCCTATCTACCTGAGGGGGACTATAGTTGACGCAAAGATTTTGGCCAGGCGGCCACTGCTGCGCTGCAGTCCGACACTTGGGGGAAAGTAATCGGTTGGCAGTGGCCATCAGGGTTAATGCAAGTTATATTAGGGTTTAGGGTTAAGGGTCTCCAGGCCTTCGTATTATACCACTGTTATACTGTTATGATGTTTTCTCAGCACAGCAATGGCCAAGGCCTTGAAGTAGACCACTTTGTCAGCATGCCCAAGATCCCCAAAGACAAAAAATCCAGGTGCAGCAGCAGGACACAGGGCCTCTCTGGGGCCAAAGTGAGGGCTGATCAAAGTACTTTGCAGAGCCTGACTCCGAAGTCTGGCGTTTGGCGCATGCAAGGTGGTGCAGGCTCACCAAAAAGGCTCCTGAACCCTTGAGGATTGCATCCTGCACCACCGGGCTCTTGAAGGGATTGTCCCATCCAATATTAACGTTTCACGAAGCCTTCTAAAAGACCTCCCTGACGAGCTGAAACTTCCGTCTTAAAGACTGTCATGCGTGCGGCCTGGTTCTCGTGTGTCCTCCCGCTTCCCGCAGACGCTTAGGCGCCTTGTTGCTCAGCGGAACAACAACCACAAGGCCGCGGACACCCTGAGAGTGTCAGAAATATATAAAGGCTACATCATGTGTAACGTGCTATGCAAGATATACGGAAAATCGCAGATCGCCATAACAGTTAGAAGTTCTGGCTCTTTCAGTAGATGCAGCACAGAAGCTCATGCGGAGGTGCTTCAGAGGTTGAACGCTGAGATACTGGGTCACCAGCGGAATGTGCCGCGCCCGCATGCTGAGATTTCCTGCTCACTGGACAAATCACATCCTACTGATAGGTTTCAAAGTACTGACATTCACAACCGTCGGTACGCATAGGTTGACTGAGGACGTCATTGTCCAGAGCTGACGAAATTCAAGATGCTCAGATTAAGACTTTTTTCACTTGCGCTTGACCGTATCTGTTCTTGCCGTAGGGTCTGGAGCTCAAGGAAGCTGTGGTTGTCCTCAGCTTCTGTATAGTCGATAGACGGGTACTTGCTGGTCTTGCAAATTTCGAGAACTGGGCGGTGATGGCAGCTCCGCAGCCTGTCTGCAGACACGACAAGCTTACTTCTAGGCAGGACTTGACATTGGCTGTTATCTGGAGGAATTACTGAGTCAGGTACCTGTTTTCAAGCGCCTCATTTGTGTGCATGAAGATTGGATGTTTTTTGTTGGGCTCTATATGCTAGTCATAAGGATACGAGTATACTACAGTAGAAACTTTGCAGATATGGCCACGTGAAAGTTCGACAGAATGCCGGGGGTCTTGTTAAGGCGGATGCGGCATACCTTTGTTTGAGATATGCCCTTTGAGGCTCATCGGCTCATCTTTGGAATGTACTACCGCATGCCCCAGTACACCATGCAGCAATTCTTATCGCTCATGACCAAGATGCTATGCGTAATTGCTTTCATGAATATCGTGCCCCCCCCCATTAAGGCTGAACAAAAATATCACATAGGGCGGAGTAGTTGTCCAAATTGTCGGCGATTCTTGGGGTTACTGTAGACTGTAGACTTTTGCTCCGCTCTTAATGTGCGCATGGAAAGCCGCCCGCGGAATAATAACATGCCTATCATGATTGCAAAGCCGTATGAATTCTCTTGATGCCTCGTAAAGTCTGACAAAAGCCCCGTAGAAGAAGCCCCATATAACTCGCGTGGAACGCCTCAAGGAATTATAGTTCCGAGGAAACTTATGGGCTCGCCTAAGTCGCCTAAGGGCAGAGAGCGAAGCCTTTCTTTCCAGAGAGCTCCCCGCCGTGACCACTCAGCCAGCATCCAGGACTCGAGTTTAGGGCTTTGGTCTTAGGGGGCTTAAGGGTTTTGCTTAGGCTTACGGTTGAGATTGGTGCCGCAGGATGTTCGATGCTTTCCTTTGGGGCATGTTGTCCACATAGGTTTTCTGAATATTGCTGTTGAGGGGAGAGTAACAAGAAGCAGGTTGCCATTCTTGGGTGGAAAGCTTTTCTACTCTTACCTCCTCAAGGCTTATAGCAGCAACTTTAAACAGCAGCTATGACTGCATCGCGACCGCCAGACGCCTGCTAGGACAGAGTTATTACAGGGTGCGGACCAGAAACCTAATCCTGGAACGCAAATCCGTAAACCTGAATGCCTGTCCCCTCATCCCTACATCCTACTCCAGGAATGACGCGCGCCGGATGGTTGCGGTTTTTGGCTGCTCCATCGCCGGTGTATTTGTCTGCTCGCTTGCAGTCCTCTGCTTCCTCAGGCCAGTGGACGTCTATTGCGGGTTTGGGATCATGACAGCGGTTTCGCAGCTTTCTTAGCACTACGAGGGAAGCGCCCCAAATCGGAACACACCTTGTTGTGTCTTGAGAGGTCCCGCTTCAGATTCCAGTTTTGCATCGTGTGGCATTCGCAACAAATCTCAAAAAAGTGATTAGTAACTGTAGCTGTAAAGTAAAGTGGTAGAACTAGCAATGCAAGCAACACTTTTCTATGTCGCTGACCGAGTAATTGTCATCGACGCAGTCGTGGTAGAAGCATGAACAAGGCTGATGATGCTATCTGCTGTCTGAAGATGCAACTAAAGCACGGCCGGAAATGGGTTGACGGATTGGGGATGGGCTTGCATGAAGGCCGTACCAAACAATCCATGGAGGCTACAAGGGCAGCACTCGCAAGCACTCAGCCGTTGGTTTTGCTTTCTAAACGGTAGCCTAAACTCTGTGTCCAAAAGCCCAATGGTTCACAACCTCTAAGCCTTCGACACCAAACCCGTAGATCCCTTCATCATCCGGAAGCCCAAAGCCCGAAACCCCGTGTGCGCAGGAGCTCAGTTCCACGAGCCACATTCCTGCGGGGATCTGACCTGATGCAAGGCTGAGCACAGGGCACAATGTAGTGGCCTGAAGGGATATATATGGGTTAGGTAGGGATAATGGAAAGAAAATGGAAGCTACTATCCAGGGTCTAGGGTTTAAGCTTCAGGCTTCAGGATTTCGGATTTAGGACCAATCCCCAGCATGGGAAAATCATGTTTGGGAGTTTCATCCGAAAATCCAATGAAATCCGCAAAGGGACATCCCATACTCGCCTTCAAACGTGCGCGCACGACAAGCGCGGTTCTTAAACCTTTCTCAGCGATGCCAACTTTCCCATGGAGAACCTATCCGACCTCAAACCTCACCCCTATATCCCTCGTGTAACCCTGTACATCCATTTTATATCCGCTATACAACCCTATGGTATGTATAGGGTTTCATTGTCCAGCAATGGCCAGTCTCACGGCCTAAAACTCTCAAGTGCCTTGAGCCCCGGAACCCGAAACCCCCTAAAACCCCAAACACTGCTGTCGTGGCTTTCATGACTGAAGCATCTCTTGCCCGGCAGGTTACGAGGACACGTGCTTCAAAGTTGGCATGTACTACGCGGACCCTGTGCTTTGGATATCCACTTCAGGATTTAGGGCTGAGGAGTAGAGAATCAAATGTGACAATCAAATAGCAGAACATCTAGTAATGGAACATCAAATGGACAATAAAATGGAAGCTGCAGGCGTTATGTATGGGGATGCTACAGTCCACGATCCAGAGTAGGATTGTATCGTCGTTTCGAGTCTGGTTTTTTGTAAGAAGGAGATAATCTTGTTTGTTTTAACCCAATGGGTCACACGCGGCGGATGAAGCTTTTGATAGAGGGTCTTCAGCCATCATCAACACTGACTAGACTAGACTTTCTGCAATATGGTAGTTTCCCTAAATAGGGGGACCCCAATGTAGACACCACTATATTACAATCTTATTTAAGGGATCCCCACAAAAGGTATCCCTCAATTTGGGAAACCGTATGCTGGAATCCCTAAACCCAAAACCCTATATGTCCCCCTATAACCCCTCTAAGGGTACCCCTAATTTTGGGAAACCTCACATGAACACTTTCGAGGCCTTCTTCTTAGGTTGTTCCCGGCCAGAGGAGGATGTGCAGGATAATTGGTTGATGGGTAGCCTGCGGTAGCTGTTAGGAGGACACCCCACCCCGTAATAGCGGTATAATAGGAAAAGAATAGAACCTTAATACAATCCTTATTATCCCTTATAGTCACCATTACTGGGTGGGGGGTCCACCTGAGGTATAAACAAATTCTATAGGCCTTCGGCCGGGAGGAGATTTGATCAGGTTTTGGGCGACTTGGGGTTTGGAGTTTGGGGTCTGGGAGGAACCTTGCAATCTCCTCGTTAGCCTCATGTCGAGGATACAGCAGTTAATCTTCGGCTTATGTGGGGATTTACACTTCAATTACCACTGCCCATTATTTTTATTAAGAGAAACTGCAAGACGTGTTTTTCCTTGCGGAAACATTCCCATGTGATCCCTGGAAGGTCCTTGCAAACATCCACCCAAGCCTTAAATTCCAATCCACAGACCAGCGATTACCTACCCCTATATGTTCACCCATTATTACTGGAATTTCTTTCGCTATTGGTATTATTCCTATCCTTTAATATCATGGCTGCTATTACTGTTGTTGTTCTTAGTCTTATTCTCCTTATTACCTTGCTGAGGGTTGGCAGGGAATATTGGAATATTATGGGGATTCTATTCCGTTATTACCTACTAACCCTAAACCCCAAACCCCAAACCCTAAACTCTAAACCCTAAACCCTAAACCCTAAACCCTATATCCCTATATCAGATTATCTATACACCCTTGTTCCCCGGTCCCCATTAAGTTACTGAAGGCAAGGTTACCCTCGCTGCCGAGAACCGTGCAGCCAGACGCCCAGGCGTGCCAGGCCGGCTCGGGCTCAAGGAGCTGCCATGATTTTGGTTTTAGGGGTGTAGGGTTTAGGATTTTAAGGTTTAGGGTTTTGGGGTTTAGGGTGCTAGGGTTTAGGATTCTAGGGTTTAGGATTTTAGGGTTTAGGATTTTAGGGTTTAGGATTTGAGGGTTTAGGATTCTAGGGTTTAGGATTCTAGGGTTTAGGGTTCTAGGGTTCTAGGGTTAGGATTCTAGGATTCTAGAGTTTAGGGTTTAGGATGCTAGGATTCTAGGGTTTAGAGCTCTAGGATTCTATGGTTTAGGGTTGATTCAGGGTTGGGGGGTTTTAGGATTTAGGCTTGACTTAGGGTTTGGGATTGGGTTAGGCCCCACCCACTAAAATGGCGGTATACTAGGAATATCTAGAGGCAATGGTATATCTTGATTTAAGCAACCATCCCATCCAAGGTTCCGATGCTTATCTCTCATCTGGAATTACGTGACCCCAACCCTCCTTGCTTTCAAGTTCACCCTAAACCCTGAACCCTAAACCTTAAGTCCTAAACCATAAACCCTAAGCCCTAATCCACAAACCCTAAGCCCTAAATCGTAAACCACTAAACCCTAAACCCCGAAACCCTAAACCCTATCCCTAAA